CATGCTCCTCCTCGACTTCTTGTAGGGTTGGAGTCGGTCTCCCAGCTGTCAACTTCTCCTCCCAGCTACGGCTGCCTATGTCTCGGCTGCAGTCGTTCGGCTTCCCGATTAGTGTCTTCTTCACTGCTTCCCAATGGATTGGCCCAGCCGCTACGTCGTCACTGTGAAGCTATCAGACGTCCCAGACGATACTGCCTAGACTCCACCTGCAGAGCACCCAATCCTGGAGCACTTGATGCTCAATATTCCGTCAATTCCCTCTTCGGTCCACACATGGAATGTAGGAAGACCTCTGGCGTACTTGCAGACTACGGGTGACGCGTAAGATCCACGGGAGTGGCGTATTACTGCCAGATTGACAGGATCAACCTTCACACATCCGCCCACCTTGACGTGTCGTGTCAGACTGATTCCCTCCGGAGGATTGGCCCAGCCACTACGTCATCACTGTGAAGCTATCAGCCGTCGCATACGTCGCTGCCTAGACTCCACTCTTGCACAACACCTGTTCCTGGAGCACTTGTTGCTCAATATTCTGTCAATTCCTTCTCTGGTCCAACACATGAACGAAGGAAGACCCCACAGGTGATGGCAGACCACGGGTGATGCGTAAGTCCTCCGGAGACGGGGTAAACTGTCCAACTGACAGGACCCCCCAGCGCACGTCCGACCTCCTTGACGTGCTGTCTTAGACTGATGGCGCCAGCGCGGCGCGATGACCGGACCCCCTTTCCTTCGCGACGTCATATTCGCCATGGGAGGTTTTCATTGGCTCCCTGTGCCACGTCGCTGTCGGTGACCAATCTGGTGTCACTGACGTCACACAGTTTTGGCGGCAAAACAGAAGAGCCAGCGCCATATTGGCTTCCTAAAGGGCCTAAACCACAGGCCAAAATACTCTTCTTTTATCAATTTCTCGGCACATCGAGAACACTACATTCTCCCACATATATCAAACTGTTGCCTGCGACGTAGAGAACGCTCGGGTAAAGTGGACATGACTCTTACAGCAGGCGTGGGAGAAATATAAGGGGGGGGAACACCGTCACAATGGGAAAATATTATTATACTTGTGTTTGCTTGCAAGTGGATGTAATACAGATACGAAGTACATTTATATATGATTCCTACGTTTATAAGAAGCTTCATTCCGACGATGACCTCCTTGAGAGGCAGGTGAGCAGTAAGGACACTTCACGGTTTTGTAAACTGAAATTGAAAAGAACATATTTAAGTGTGTGGAATGTAATAGCCCGAATGAGTAAATATTCTCACACTATAAGAGAGAGATAATAGTTTACACACCCGATATTTCACCTGTGGATGCCATAAAATGAACTGTGGAATATTAAATAAGAATAACACTCACGGTTATCGCAGAAAATCTGCTGACATCGCTTGCATTTGATGTCGTAATGGCCTAGGGGCAGTTTTTCACAGCTTGTGCACTGAAGACGACATAGTTGATTTGGTGATGGAATATAGAACACACCGTATTTCATGCAGGCTGTTAAGGTTCGTCTTTCCATGATGCGGAACTGTATGGTGTGTGTGTGTAGTGAATGAAGACTCGCAACAAACTAACGGCGCGTTTGAGTGTGTGTGGAGGGAAACGATCCTGGTCAAATGAGAAGTGAATGATGGTTGGCAGGTGAGGGCCAGCTTGCGGAAGTAAGAACAACGCCCCTCCTTAACGAATCCGCAGTGGTGGGAGAGGCCTGCTGGGGTGAACATCTCCCAGACCTCTCTGAAGACATTGAAAAACGATTAAGGCTAATGGATCACATCCGCAAGAGGCTGCTCTCTCATACCCCCCTCAACACTTCCGGCCTCCTGTAGGGGGAACTAATGGACGTCATTGATATCCTCTCAGGTATGGGAGCTCCCCACCTCCCTTCACAACATAACCTACATACTCCTCCTCCTCCCTACATGACTGCACACCATCCACATAGCTTCCATCCCCTACCCAACATGACACTCTCAAGTGACGCCTGGCCGGACGCCACGCGTCATAACATCCGGGGAAACCTTTGAGATGATGTACACATGCCCACATACTTATCCTCCCCTCCCCTGTTACCTACATGACCCACAAAGTCCTCCTGACGGTACCCATCCCTTACATTTTACCCCTGCGACCCAAAACGTCCCCCACGACGCAACCCGTCCCATTCTACGGACTCCCACACCACTTTTGACTTTGACCGAGTTCAATCCCCGAAGTTCTCCTCAGGTTTGGGACGGTTCTAGTCTCAATTTCCGCTACTGACACCTTCCTCCTCCCTCCCCTCCAACACCCTTCCCTCCCTTCTTACACCTCTACCAAGAGATCCCTCCACCCTCCCCCTCCTCCACCCTCCCCCTCCTCCACCCGGTGTTTCCCTTCACCCGCACACGCGCCATCTCAACTCAAGAAAGAGGGAAGGGAGGAGAGAGTGTGGGGGCCGCGGGGGGGGGGGGGTACACGGTGGAGCACGGAGGCGAACGGGAGGGGGGAGAGGGAAAGTGAGGTATATGGGAGGTGAGATGTGTGGTGGAGGAGAGACAGCTGGACGGATGTGTGGACGGAAACGCCAGGTGGAGCAGAGGGAGGGTGGAGGCATCTCTTGGTAGAGGTGTAAGAAGGGAGGGGAGGGTGAGGAGGGGAGGGAGGAGGAAGGTGTCGTGTAGTGAGAGAGGACACTACTCGTGAGTGTGGCGGGGGAGAGACACACACACGTTAAATATTGCTTCTACTGTGTTTGCAGTCATAATGCTTGCATATTGTTTGCTGGTGAAAATGGTTGTAAGTAATACATTCTGAACGTTACAAGTATCTATGTTTTAAGTTATGTATATAGCTTTAATATTTACGAAAATACAACGTAAAAATATGATTTGGGACGTGAACGGAGCACAAGAACTACAAGTTGATGATTGCTAATTACAAAGAAAAACTGTCTTGGAACTAGAGCCGAGCCCAAGAACTACATCGTGTTATTTGAATTAGCACTACATATAACATTTTTAAATTTCATAGCTGTATGTCAAATACCTAAGAAATTATACAGATGAACTATGACTTGGGACGAGAGCTAGAGCCCAAGAACTATTTTTTTTCATTATACTCCATCCAAAATACGACTGCTTAAAATTTCGTAAATATCGGATTAATAGTTATGATACAATGTGAGGCCTGTGTCGAAACGAATGGGGAGACCCAGAGCTAATGTCCGACCTAACCAGAATCTTGCCCAAATACTGGCGGCTTATAAAAATATATCTCCATTTCATAGGTGTGCTATTTCCCATTTAAAAAAACCTGTTCACCGTAAGCCAATCTTGGCCCAAAATTATGAGTTCCGGATTTGGAATGAGTAATATCCACAACACTCAAGAAGCGATTAAGATTAATAGATTAGGAGATTTGAGATTAACAACTCTCAAAGTTGAGAGTTCCAGAGTATGAGACGCCGTAATACAGTAAGCAGAACTCTGCGCAAAGCCAAGACGAACCTTTTCAGCGATAACACCAAATCTGAAAATCGGGCCAAAATGAAGAGTTATGCATTTGGTGTCATGTACTGTTATTGCTTACCTACCATGTTTAGGTCTGTCCAGTCTATCCTTCCTAAGAAGCTCCTTAATTAATCAAAATGATATTTTTGAAAATCTGGCACCAGAACAGAACTTTCTCTTGCACATGTATTTTATTCTATGCTAAATCTGATCACTGTGAGCACTGTTCCCTAGCCCACTCCCCATTTCTGGCCTTAATTGGTGTCTCCCTGTTAGTTAACAATAAGTCTAAAATATTATTTTCCCTTGTTGGTTCATTAATGTGTTGCTTGACGAAGCAATGTTAGACCAATTCTTAACAAAAATCTTCTCTGCTTCAATATCCCTGTTGTTAATTCAGTTTACCAAAACACAAAAACTGTTTGATATTATGTTCTCTAGGTAGTTCACTGCATGGATGCTTTTTCCATTCAATCGATGTTTGGTGGCCTGTATATAACTATTATTTGAATATTAATATTTTCACTTATTTACAAGCAAATAGTTTCTGTATGTGGCTAAATTTTAATCCTATCTATGATTTTAAATTTCCAATTTTCGCTGACAAATATTCTCCTCATCTCCACCTCTTTGTCTAATCTGTCTATCGCTGCGAAATTGAAATTGAATCCCATAATTTGATATTCAGGTAATAGTTCTCTGTTTTCTACATTCATCCACGTCTATTTTACCCTAATAATATCTATTTCTATGCAGATGTGAGCATTTAAATTATCTGTTGTGTTTCTAAGACTCTTGCAATGTGTATAATACACCTGGTGATTATTGTTAAGTTGAGGCCAGTCTCCGTCCTTGTTCCTTTCTTCCAAACTGTTTCCCTGTCGACCCAGAGCTCGCATAGTGAGAGTGTAGTCTAGACCGTCTCTGTTGAGAGTGAGTGTAATCCCGTTACTGGTGCGCGGTGGGCTGGATTGGTTAGATAGTTATCAGGAGAGGGCACTAAGCCAGTACCACTATATAGCAACGGCAAGGAATATAACAACAAGGATCTGGGATATGACAACAAGGATCTGGGATATGACAACAAGGATCTGGGATATGACAACAAGGATATAGGATATGACAACAAGGATCTGGGATATGACAAGGTTCTGGGATATGAAGGGGAGGATATAGGACGGAGGGACGGAACTGTGCTCAACCACTTTGACCGTTGGGGATCGAATGCCGACCGACCGGCAAGAAACGAAACCGTCGCCCAAGTGGTTGGGAAGTGAGTTAATCTCTAGGTTACTGGACAGTGGTGGAGTAGATAGTGAGGTAATTTCCAGACTACTGGTCTGGGGACAAATTCTTTCCGAACTCTTATTTTTTAAATAGTTGCTTCACGACATTGTGATCAAACCTCGTGGAATTATTAATTAGTGTTCCAGAGTCGTAAGTTATTACTGCGCATGGTGCTAACCTCGAATTATTGTGGCAATGTTTTCCTCCTACAGCTACCAAGACGTGAAACTTCACTTGATTTCCAAGAATGGAAAGGATCACAATATAGGAGAGGCGAAAAAGACTTTCATTGATAAGGTTAATGAGATGTTCCCTATGCCAAGTAAGTTAACGTTTCCTGCATTTTCCGAACAGGTATCAGGAAAATTTGTAGCAAAGTTACTTGCTATTTATTGGATTTCATTGATATAAAAAAATTATTGAATTTATTTGATTGGATTTTATCGATGTAAAATTTATTTTATTGGATTTATTCATTTAATTTTACCGATATAAAATTCAATAAGCCTTTTGGATTTCTTATATACAACCCGGAAGTCATTATTATTCTTGTATAATATAAACCAACGTTGGTTAATGGTGTTTGGGGTTTATATCTGTGTCTAGTGCAACATGTCATGCAAGATCGCTGCCATGATAACCAAAGTCCTCTGTGTCTAGGGCAACATGTCATGCAATATGGATGCCATGGTAATCAAAGTCCTCTGTGTCTAGCCCAACATATCATGCAAGATGACCGGATGAAAACCAAAACAGACGACGAAGTTCCGGTCCGTTCTGGGCCATTATCAAGTTGACTGTCACTATTAAGTCAATACAGTCGACTTGATAATGGTCCAGGACGGACTCGAACGTCGTCGTCTCGACATCTTCTTATGAGCGGTTTGGTGATCATATCTTCAGCCACGTTACTGTGACTCAACATCAGTAACCAAAACAGGTTTATGTAAACTTTCAGTGTAGGGAAGGTGGTGAAGGGTAGGGAGGTGGTGAAGGGTAGGGGAGGTGGTGAAGGGTAGGGAAGGTGGTGAAGGGTAGGGAAGGTGGTGAAGGGTAGGGAAGGGGTGAAGGGTAGGGAAGGTGGTGAAGGGTAGGGAAGGTGGTGAAGGGTAGGGAGGTGGTGAAGGGTAGGGAAGGGGTGAAGGGTAGGGAAGGTGGTGAAGGGTAGGGAAGGTGGTGAAGGGTAGGGAGGTGGTGAAGGGTAGGGAAGGGAGGGTGGTGAAGGGTAGGGAAGGGAGGGTGGTGAAGGGTAGGGAGGGGGTGAAGGGTAGGGAAGGGAGGGTGGTGAAGGGTAGGGAAGGGAGGGAGGTGAAGGGTAGGGAAGGCGGTGAAGGGAAGGGAAGGGAAGGGAAGGTGATGAAGGGTAGGGAGGGGGAGAAGGGTAGGGAAGGGAGGGTGGTGAAGGGAAGGGAAGGTGGTGAAGGGAAGGGAAGGGAAGGGAGGGTGTGAAGGGAAGGGAAGGTGGTGAAGGGAAGGGAAGGGAAGGGAGGGTGTGAAGGGAAGGGAAGGTGGTGAAGAGAGGAATGGGAAGGAGCTATCACAGGTTACAATGTGTGTGTTACAGTGTTTAATCTCATGTTGTATTGAAAGGTTCAGTAATCTCACTTGTGACGCATTGTCAACTTGATGCATTAATAGGTATAAATGAAATTAATTTGTGTAATAATCATCTGACATTAATTAAAATTCTGACATTATTCATGGAATTAAGAACTAATTACTAGGTTTCATTAGCGTGGGAAATTTGTCGGGATTGATTAATGAGGAGAACTACTTAGGACTTATACTGTACTAAATTAAAATTTACTGTACACAAAATTAATACAACTAAAGTCCCTAGCTACGGTTGTGAAGCCTAGTTCCTCTTATCCTAATGACAGACTGTGGGCTGTAAGGATCAGGTTGGGTCCCTAAGGCCGGCCACACACGTGCAGTTTTAACTGACAGTTATGACTGTTCAGTTATAACTGTCACAGTTCAAACTGACGTCAGTTAAAAATGAAATGCACACACACACACAGTTCAATCCCTCAGTTTTACCATGGATTCCGAGGAGTACGATCTTGCCGCTCTTGGTGTATTCTTTGTAATGCTACAAGCAAATAGAAAAAAAGAAAACTAAGAAGCGTAAGCAGAGGTGCAAAAAGTGGTTACTAAGGCGAAATCAATGTTCTGATATTAAATTGTTAAAGGAATTAAGTGAAGAACCAATTGATTTTCTCAATTATTTGCGCATGACTGAAACTGTGTACCAAAAGCTGCTTTCGCTGGTTTCTCCTTTCATTAAAAAGAAAGATTTTGTTTACGTGCCATCTCAAACTGCACTCACCGCTACCACCTGTAGAAATGAGAAGTTGAGAATTGTACAGTTACGAATCCCCACACACGCTCAGTTCAGTTACTCCTTTCAGTTAAAAATATGGAACATTGCATTTGTCGCAGTTTAACTGTACAGTTCTGTTGAACTGACGAAATGAGCAACTGAGATACCCACACACGTGCAGTTTTAACTGAACAGTTAAAACTGCACGTGTGTGGCCGGCCTAAGTATGAATGGAGAAGTTGATTGAAGATCTACAATCCACCTGCAGACAATTCAACACATCAGCTTATATTGTTAATACATAGATAAGATTAAATAACCCAGTTCTATAACTGAACACTGGTTCTGTTTAAATCAAGAATCTAAACATGTAAATAGTCCAGCCTAGCACTGTTATTACAACAGCCAATATTCACACACTAATAAACACAACAATTTGTATTACAGAGATATGATATATGTAAATATGCAATCAAAGGACCATAATATGGTCTAAGTGTACTGAAATAACCATCTTGGTTCAAAGGATTATATTCAATATGATAAACTTATATAATAAATTAGAGATAACTAAATAAGCAATTGTTAACTTAATGTATATCATCAATTATATATACAGATATATTCAATTTATATGAAAAGATTCAGTCAAGCTTGACTTTCAATGGCTGAGGTTAAATAATTAATGAGTGTCCAGATAACTTTAAAAGATTCATTGACTGAAAGATTAATCAAAGCTTACTAAAATCTGGGGCGTCGCCCCGTTCTGTAACGACAAACAGACTTATTGGATAGACTAAGGTTATACAAGCATGCAAGTGTGGCCAATGAACACACTACAATAACACTCAATATACTTATGTTTATACAATCTGAGTGCAGGTGCCTTCTGACAAGTTTCCAGATTTGATAACCTCTTTTGTAGAGCTCAGGCACTATATTATATGTCACAGCTTTGCTGTTTAATATTCTGGTAGCTTTGCTAGTTGATTATGTCCTTAGTTGCATTTGTAATAGGATAAGATGTGGAGGAGGCGGTGTCACTTGGAGCCACTCTTCCCCCTTATTTAGATAAAAGTACTAGGGTTTTTCCTTATAGATATAGTCCAGGTTCTCTCACAGTTCTAGAGAGTAATCACTGATAATAATGATAAGTTAGTGTGGTGCCCTTTACTGAAAATGTTCACAAGGCACCGCATCTCGTGTTCACTCTATTTGCAAACATAACATTCTCTCTCTCCCGGGGTGTTGCTTCATCTCGCGAGCTGGCTCTGCCCTCCTCCATAGGGAGGGTTGCCTTCGATCTATATTTATTGATTATGTTTACTGTCTAGACATATGATTGAGATAAAATGTGATTATGATATAATTAGATATAAGATTTATAGATTATTGGTAGTACATGATAGTACTATTGATTCTTATTAAGGACTAGCTGTACCCGACCACACGTTGCTGTGGCTCAGCAACCTTCCCCCTGTCTCCTAGTCCTCCCAACCATTCCTCACTCCTCTGTCCCCTTGTCCTCCCAACAACTGGGGAATTGTTGAGTGCAGGTGCCCTGTCCCCTCGTCCTCCCCACCATCCCCCCCCCCCTCCCCCGGCCCTTTGTCCTCCCCACCATCTCCCACTCCAGCATCCCCTCGTCCTCCTAACCATTCCCCATTCCACCATCCCTTCATCCTCCCCGCCATCTCCCTCTTCTCCATCCCTTCGTCCTCCCTACCATTTCCCCTTCCCCCGTCCCCCTTGTCCTCCCCACCATCCCCCACTCCCCTGTTCCCTAGTCCTCCCCACTATTCTCCATTCCCCGGTCCCTTCGCCCCCACCATCCCCAACTTCCCCGTTCTCTTGTCCTCCGCACGATTGCCCCCTCCCCTGTTGCCTTGTCCTTCCCCACCATTCCCCACTCCCTCGTCCGATGCATTCTCAAATGATTAGAAATCCCATCAGAAAATTGGGAACATCAAATGATCTGATGTTCCCATCACTGAAATATAAGAAAAACAGTTAAGAAAACGAAATGAAAAACAATGAAAAAATAAAAACATAAACTATACTCACGAAATGAACAGTATGGTAAACAACACAGCTCAATTCCATTGCAATGTCACACAAAATAATTAAATCAAACTGAAAATAAATTGAAATCTATGAAAATTCAATTTATCAATGAAATTGGAAACATTGAAATTGAATTGTAGCATATTCAGTATAGCGTGTGCTGCTCTTATGTGCAACAGATGGCACTGTTTAAAAAAAGCATGTTTTACCTGTCACAGGTGTGTCATCTATACTTATACTCATGAAATGTACAGTATGGTAAACAAAATGGTTCAATTCCCCAGGCAATATCACACAAAATAATTACATCAAAGTGAAAATAAATCGAAATTTATGAAAATTCAATTTGTCAGTGCAATCGAAAACATTGAAATGGAATCGTAGCATATTTAGTATTGCTTGTCTCAGGTGTCGCATCTATACTTATACAAATATATGTACGAAATGAACAGTATGGTAAACAACACAACTCATTTCCAACGTAATGTCATACAAAATAATTAAATAAAAATAAAAATAAACCAAAATATATGAAAATTCAATTTATCAATGCAATCGGAAACAATGAAATGGAATCCAAACATATTTAGTATAGTGTATGTTGCTATTAAATGCAACAGATGGTGCTGTTTAAAAAAAAAAACATGTTTTTACCTGTCACAGGTGTATCATATGCATAATTGGTATATAAAAACACGAACGTAAGGCAATCAGTGAAGAACTTTCGGAGATTACAGCATGTGTTGCTCTTATGTTCAACAGATGGAGCTGTTTTTCAAAAAAATCATTTTTCCTGTCACAGGTGAGGCATGTATATAGTAGGTATATAAAAACATATGCCTATTCGAATGCAACGTTGTGTCAAAATTTCAAAGCAATCGGTAAAGAAGTTTCAAAGATTTCCCTCACATGAAAAACACAGTTTAAAAAAAAAA